TCCGCCCGCACACATACCGACAGACAGTAAGGCGGCGGTACGGCTTTATGTCGGCAACCGACAGCCGGATCAACAGCCGAATCGTCTAATGGGTCGTATGAAACTGCAGGCATATTCCCAAGCTGAAGCCATTCTGTCTGCTTGTTGAGCCCTTAGCTTCCTATAGCTTCCTCCACACCATCCTCAATACGTTTGCAGTTTGCGATCCCCAGGGATCGCACATTCCATGAAGTTACCGTAACCGGAAAATGCACAAATATTAGGCCAGTGCATAAAAGTTTAGTTAACGAGTCATTAGCATCTCTCCATCTTTCGCTTTGACCTCACCTATTCGAGCCGATATTTGTGAATTTTCTTGAAAATTAGCTGGGAAATTTGTCCAGCCAGTTCCAGAAACTAAGCTATAAAGGTCCTTTACCTGGGCCTAATTTTGAAGATGGTCATGATAGTGTACTCAAGGATATCCCCGAGAGTATCTGAATGTTGTTGTCCAAGTAATCAGGGGAAGAACCGGTAACCAGCAGCGTCAGAACACCACCACGCAATCACTCAAACGACCGATCACGCGTACTAAACGACTTCTATCCGACGCTTTTTACCCACTATACACGTCCCCAGAGCGAACCCATTTTAATTAAAGACTATTTTTTTCGGCTGAATTCCTCACAGTCAATAAATAACAATCTCACGATGCTCTGTTGAAGTCCCTTTCCCCGGCTGAATTCAAAATTCTCGCCCGTTTTTCCGGGCAATTTCCAAATAGGCTGAGGACGTCGCTGTCAAGTATCGCTCCATGTTTTCATGCAGTCGACGCAAAAGGTGGCCGCGTAACGTGAGCGGCATTTGGAAAAAGAGATCCGATGCGGGGCTTTTTGATGAAATGCGTTCGTCGAACGGGCGGTCATCTATGGAAACTTCGAGGAGGAAGATTCAGTTCGGCTCAGTGATTTCACACTCACATCATCCGCTCACACACACACACCGGCCCGTCCGCCCGCACACATACCGACAGACAGTAAGGCGGCGGTACGGCTTTATGTCGGCAACCGACAGCCGGATCAACAGCCGAATCGTCTAATGGGTCGTATGAAACTGCAGGCATATTCCCAAGCTGAAGCCATTCTGTCTGCTTGTTGGGCCCTTAGCTTCCTATAGCTTCCCCACACCATCCTCAATACGTTTGCAGTTTGCGATCCCCAGGGATCGCACATTCCATGAAGTTACCGTAACCGGAAAATGCACAAATATTAGGCCAAGTGCGATAAACATGTTAGTTAACCGAGTCATAAAGCCTTGTGGCTGATTGCTAGGCTCAAGACAGCACAATACTCAATTAGAGGCAGCGGAATGCCGGGACGGGTGTAGAGGAACGTGAGCGAAAATTGAAAGCGGCAGCGCTCATGGACGTGAAAAAGGCAAGCCGACGGCCGAGACGACGCAACCGTTTGACACTTGACGAACAGAACGGAACCTTGACATCTTTATTCTCTCTTTAAGACACAATCAAATCCGTTTGAGCTGCGCCAAAAGGCTTTTCTTCCGTCCTGTTCCAGGATTTAGCGGGTCAGGATTATCCCTGAAACAATGTGACAATTGAGAACGTAGGGACATCGACAAGCTTAACGCTTACTTTGTCAGTTCACGAAGAGCCCGTTGAGGGTTAGGAAACCCGAGATCGTACGCATTGTAGATAACATTGACACCAGCAAACGGTACCTCAATACCAGTAGCGCCAGCGATTTTCCCTAAAAGGGCTCAGATGACTCTGACCTAATTCCTTCAGGTGTTTTCACCTGGAGGCAGAATCAAAACAAACCTTCCGGCCAGTCGACAAGTACAGTGTTTGTGCCACGGTAGAAGGATACACCATGATCGCGTGGGCGAGCGAATGTACGGTAATTGCCTAAAAACAAATCTTTTTAGATTACCCGCCACAAACCATGATCTCGACGCCTTCTCAGGACGGAAATCATAAATAAAAAGCAGTTTTTAGAGCTCCTCCTTTTCTCTTCTTAACTTGCCTAGTGCGTCATATCCGTAGAATTGTCCTCGAACCAATGGTTGTGGAGCCATGACATTGAAATCGGCAGGTGTATAGTCAGGCAAAGGTTTCCAAACGGCTCGACACTTTTGGGCCCACCTCAAGCAAACACTTTGGGAAATGAGAAGAACTGAGGAAGAGGGACAGGAAAGGAACGGAGAGGAGCTGAGGAAGAGCCATTTTGACATAGTCACGGCTATTTAGCAAATAGGGTTTAGCATACTTGCTGCTATTCAAGAAGGATAGGTCATCAGAGGCTAACCAAAACGTTGGGTAAAATTTGGAGTCAAGCATGACTCTAACTCCCCTCCTGAGGGAAATTTTCATACGCCCCTCGCTCTTCAGTAAATTCTCTAGCAGCCCTACCTTAACTCTACCTACCTTTCCCTACAATAACTTTTCCACCGTTATACTGATGATGGAACAGAAGTTAGGGTTCTAAAACAACAAAATGAGTAACATTTTCTCACATCCAATAGACTTCCCTCTTCTTGTCCCGTAACCATAGTGGCTAATTTACTAATGAAGACTTTAATCCCGCCTTAATCGAGTTTACACAATATCGCGACTTGCACGTTTATTAAGTCTTGGGACCTCGATAGAAGACTGGACATGAACCATAAAAGAGTTGAAGACTAGATTGCATCCCTATGGTCAAATCCATATAACCAGCGCCATAGTCTACCACTTTACCCTGGTTCACTGAAAGGCTAGGTAACCCTAGATGCTTACGCGATTATGTATAGAGGCGCTCTTCATCCAAACTCATCAGAAAGCCCAAGTTAGAACCATTCCAAAACTAGGGAGTTATGAAGGAAGAGTAAAAACTAAATCAGATATCTTAACAAGGAATGTCCTTCAGGTCGCCATGGCCGTTCTACATGAGATGTATACCACTCTATGCATTCTGACACGCTGATTTCGAATCTGCCTTCCAAATCTGCTAAACGACTCTCCGAACGGAGTTATGAAGCGTAATAGCTCAGTGGTGATGGTCCGGGCTGGCAGGTAAAAGCTCGTAGGATCGGATCCTTTGCAAATTGGTATGCTCTTTATGCTTTTCTTGGTCACGCAACAACTATGCACTCTAAGACAAAAGCAAAGCAAGCCCATAATTTGCCATAAGAGAATCGCACTCCTACGGAGCTTTTAGCACTTCGCCAGCCGGCCAGTTTTCCCACTAGAAGTATTCGCTTTCATAATTCGCCGTTCGTGGAGTCGTTTAGGCAGCACTCTTGGAAGGCAGATCGAACATCAGGGGCTCACACGACGTGTCAGAATGGCATAGAGTGGAGTATACATCTTTCAGTGGATTAGAACGAGCCGCTTGGCAAGCGGACCTCGGGAAGGACATGCACGGTTTTGTGTTGTTAGTTCTAGAATAGGCGCCTCGCATAACACCTGAAGTGAAGAGAAATTGAGAGAAGCCCTGGACAATCGAAGGGGACTGGGTGATTTCTCTAGTGCCAAAAACGAATTATAGCTAATCCTTCGTGCGCTGAATTCACGAATTAACGCCTGACATTTTTTGATACGCGGAACTTTCAGTCTATAACTGAATACATAGTTTCGGTGTTCTTACATAGTGAAAAAACGGAACGCGTCCCGACAACCGCGTGGCCCGTAAGCATCCTAAATATAAGAGGAATAGGAATATATCACTATTACATTTTACTTTTAAATAAATTGCCTGCATAACTTTTGCATACCATGTATGCGTGACACTCCAGGTCGAACATCGAGGCAAGAGGCTGTGTAATTTTTAGTGGTCGGACCCTGCCCAACGTGAATCCAAACATCATCCGTATCGACCACGGAGTGAGAGAAATAGTCGCTATCGATTTTATTTCTTAGTACACGAAAAGCTGAAGGTAGAGGAGTAAGGGGTCGTACATTGTAAAAGGTAAGGAGGAACATAGTACAGTTGGACACACTTCCTAGATTTGCAGTACCAGCTTGTCGCCAAAGCTCCGAAAGAATTCACGCTCGTTTATTTTGGAATGTTGCGACAATTCCATGGAAATTTTGGTGGTCACTGCAGAGGCGTGTCAAAAACCCGTCATTTCACTGAACCCTTAGATTCGAGGCTGTCCGTGTCTAATTGGACCTAAAAATCCGCTTGGAGTAGGAGCTTCCATATTTCGTCAGAAAAACTCCCCTTGAAGTACCGAGGGGTATTCGTAGCAATCGAATCAGCAGTCTGTCACCACCTCGTAGCCTATCCTAACAACAATGTCAATGTCATCGTAATTGCCTTGGCGATCATATGTTGCTTCGAAGATGGCAACGGGTACGGGTAATTAAAGCGACGACGTGATGTCAACCGTTTTATGACGTATCAGTCGCATTGTCAAGCGCGCGAAATTGCCACGGAACAGATGGACGTGGCCAAGGAAACTCGGCCCAGATGACGATAGAAATCGCGAAGGATCACTGGCGCACAGCAGAAGGTGGTTCCTAAACGCTCCATTCGGCCACGACAACCAAATACAGCTACAGCTTGGCAGCGGGACATAACCATTTGGGGGAATTTTGCTTCGGGAATCTATTTTTACCAGAGGGTTATTTAGGGTAACCAATAAAAACAATCTTATAAGTAAGTGGGAAATATGGCGCTATCGCAAGATAGGTGGGCGTTTTCTAGGATTAACCATAAGCCTAGGAGAGGGCAGGAATTCTGGAGAAAATAAAAATTGCTTACGAACTTTGGAGTTTGTTTTCCCCGCCTAAGGCTCTGTCCCGTTTCCCCTCCCTTATCCCTGGAATAACATTTTTCCCATAAAAAAAAGAATAAAAAAACGAAAAACCTGAAGCCTATTCTATTCCTGATTTCAGTCAAACCTTGTTATTTCAACCCCATTGGCAAACAAACAAAGCTAACTCAGTAAATCAAGCACCACTTTGCCCAGACAGTTAGTTTCATTATTTTCTGCGTCATTTTTTCCCTAATGGTCCCACAACGCTGTCCTTCAGATCTCTCCTAGGTGGTCTGATCAAGAACTTCCCACCGTGCAAAACTCTGCCTGGCACTACGTTTTACGAAGTTCATGACTTTTTAGGCCTCAGAAAAGCAAATGATAAAGTGGGCGTGGGAGATAGCCGAACGATACAAGAACCCGGAAGTGACAAACATTCTCAGCGCATTATAAAAAAAATCGGCCGGTTAATTCACAAGGTTGAGCGCTATCATCAACCCAGTTCGCGGACAATGGACGCGAGCAGGTGGCTGAGCGAAGCACTGCTCATCGGAAAAGCGATGTTCATCCACCGGTTGCCCTCATGGAAAAAGTTTCAGCACCAATTGTTGATTTTTGCCACTTCACCTCACTTCAAGAAAGGGTCGCGAGGGACAATGATGGCCACCGGTAGCTGCCACTTTGCGATCGTCTCAAACAAAGCTCGTCCGGCCGGGCAGATTGAAAATCTTGCGCGGTCGCGAATGGGTTAATAATTTGAAAAATACTGATCTGTATCTTGCTTCGTGTGTGGGTGGTCATTCTTGATAACTGCAGGATCAGTTCCTTTTTCGACTGAGAGGTTGTCTTGGCAATTTATGAACCTCCTTCATTCGGTGACCTCGACGGGAATGAGAACTGCAAGTTAATGCCACGAACTCGCTCCTAGTTGACTGATGCCCCAACATTTCACAGAAGCACCAAAAAGAACACATACAAGGCCACTCGGGCTGTTTTCCAACCATTTTTATTCTCCCCGGTCAGCTAAAGGTTGAGAGTTTCACACCCCTGTCAATTAAAGTGGAGTTAATTCTGCTTTTGCTGATCCACATCAGCTGGTACGTCACTACGTTTAACTTCCGCGTGAAATTTTGAACGGATCTTCTGAGAAGAGCTGGTCGTAGGATTTGAAGAGCGGTCGCTCGAAGGTCATCTCTGCCGCCCGTAGGACACACGATATTGAGAAGTCATTATGTTTATAAAGACGGCCAATTCTGCATTAGATTGTCACATAAAACGCCAATTATTGGTTAATATGAGGAGTAGGAGGGAAAATGGGAATGGTATGAGGTGGATACACTGCATATCAAAAGTTTAAAGTTTAACCCTCAACATATTGTAGATTATGCCAGACAGAGCACCGCACGATTTTTCTTTACACCGCTGTAGGTTTTCCTCAGTAGGAATAACCACAGGGATATGAACAACTATAAAAATCAGTTGATAGACGAAGGGCTGGTCCTCTCTCAGGCTCTTCGTAGCCGCGTGATACTGGGTATGAGGTTCCGAGGCGGTTCTTCCAACATCGGCTAAGCTCCATATTTCAACTTTCCCGTTTTAGCTCTTTTAGCTCGCTACTAATTCTTGAGCAGGAGTAATAATGCAAAACTTCGTATAACTTCGTATAATGCGAGAGGCTGTGCACACATGCGGGATAAGATTAGGATATAGGGTTGTACAGTTCATAGTGTCAATATTTTGGCAGTAAGCCCTTCTTTGATTGGGTGGCGTTTAGGAGGATATAAGCAGTTTAGGTAGTGAATACGTGAGTTCAGATGATGTCTTCGGTTCAATGAAGCCAGTTCTTGGCATATGTCAGATAATCCTGAGTTCAACACCCAAGTTGCGACGGTAAATTTCCAGCTAGCACATACCTGCAGAAGCACTCACATCACCAGATCTCTAATCGCGTCCACCGATGTGCACTGGCTACTTCGCAGGTTGCGACAAAAAAGTCTGTTTGTAGGACTGCCAAAGCTGAGGTTTTTCCATCCGAATAGTTCAACAAATAATAACTAGTGCTATTCACTGTATAACGCTATGGTCTCCTTCAACCCATCTCCTCCCATGTACAACTTTGAGAACAGGAGCACTGCTTTCTTTTGCGGTGATGCAGTGACCTTAACATACTTTTTCCGACGGCGTTCTCGGCCAAGCTACCTGCTCTATAAGATTGGATTTTTTGATATATGAGACGGTTTTATTCCATAGTAACATCATTTCATAGGGTTCGAAGGGAGTATTAATACCAGGTCTTTGAAATTCCTTCCCATTCGTTAAACGTACGTAAGCGGGTTTCCAGAAAATAACAAGCATCGAGACCACAATTTTGAGAGGCTCATAGGCGGCTTCCAAATAGTTCATGGAAAGAGGCAAATGCTTATGGACGATTTTGGCCTCATTCTGACTTGAACGGGCACAAGATTGCGTGTGAACGTCAACCCAACTTTGAAAGAAGACCACGAGGCACTCCGAAAGTTGCCCGAGACGAGTTTGAAACAAATATTCACATAATTTGCAGTTTTTACTGCTACTTATAATGAAATATTCAATTTCTGTGTTGACCTAATAACTATGAAACGTAGCAAAACAGAAAGAACTAATTTATTAAAAGTGACTGCTTATCTTCCTCGGGTTTTTTTTTTACCTTTTCAAACCACGTCGTAAGCAGGAATATTGTTGAGGCTATATCAGTAGAAGTGTACTGGCAAACCCAATTTTACGATGGCTCTCTGAGTTTTGCTCCTCCGACTGCCTTGCAGTGCTAGCAAGTAAAGTAAATAAATAAATAAAATTTGAAAACATAGTCAATGCCAAAATTCGAAAACGAGAATAAATCGGGATTGAGGGACCCGTCACCAGTTGGCTGCTTTTTCTGGGGACGCAAAGTTTGAGGATGACCTTATAACTAGAAAACGCATATTTGTGAGGAAAAAATGAAGAGTTTAGAAAAGAGTTTAGAACAAAGAAAACCTAAAACTATACATCAAATCACTCACGCTGAAACAACCAACACCTCCCCCTCGCGCAGCCATGCCATAAAATACACCATGAGGGTATCGTGCTACGGAACACGAATTTGAAAGTATAGAAGTGATACTCTCATGGTGTACCAATCGGTAGCGCAACTATCCGAAAAGCGAGAGGTGCGGACTAAAGTGTCAAGTGCAGGCCAAAGGTTTTGCGGCAATTAAACCCAGATCTCTGTGCCAGTTTGCACTAAAACTGCTGCCAAAATAGCTAGTAAAAAATTGAAAGCTCAGTCGAAATCCTATTCAACATCCAGAACCCTCGCAACATAATGTTGTAGTCGGGATCAACAAGAAAGACTGTTCAAAGTCCAGAAGATTGCACTTGCTGCAGCATTAGTGTAGCGAACTAATTATACTCACCGTTTAAGTGACTCATACTTAGCGCACAACAGCACATATCAAACGCAGTGAACTTTTCGGAGTAAGAGATTTCGTAACAAACAAATCCAAGGACACTGTCAGAGCCATCACGTCATTATGTCGGGGCATTTTGGTTCCAAATGAGCGAGATTCAATCAGTGTGCTGATCCCTCACGACCTTAAAAGCCGTTTGCAATTTTTATGGTGGTCTTTCGCAAATAAATTCTTGTATCAACCCGTGATTGGGAATTTCTCTGCGAAGGAGAAGGAATGAGAACCATGGACATAAATATTAATAAACAAAAAAATTGAAAGGATTTGGAAATACAGTAAATATTAATAAAATAAAACTGATAGTAGCACTAAAATCTATAGAAAGTGATGTGTTAAGAGATAAATGGATAATGAAGAACATGGCTACAACAACTGTATGACCGATATGGTGCAAATCAGGAGAAGCCCTAACACAAAGACCGTAAAAGAGTAACAAAATCTACGATGATTTTTCTAAAAAAACAGAAGTTCAGTGGACGGGAACTATGTTTTGCTGGTTAGAGTCAAACACGCTCATTCATGACCTATGTATGGTCAAGGTCTTTTAGCCAATGCCATCCTCACCTCTGACAGTTCGGGCCGGCTTGAGCTCGAATTCCAGGATAGCATTCGTAGTTCATCACCCATTGCAGATGGATGCATTCACAAACATTTACACATCTATAACCAGAAAATCTTGTGAATTAGATGGCTGTGGTAAGACGCCAAGTACAGATTCAGTCACGACTCGACATGAATATCGAGTGCACGGCATATCTCCAAAGAGGTTGATTAACACTGACAAACTTATTACTCGTAGTTAGTAAGTCAGATAACACATAAACGTGCTCATGACAAAATAAAACTTCTTAATGAACCACTAACACAGGATCGGTTTCTTTGCAGCGGGAATAGCAGGTGGTAAGCCCTTTCTGAGCACCGACTGGTAGCCCAGATTGTTTCCAGTAAGCAATTTGTCGCCGAATCTGGAAATGAGTAGTTCAAAACTTAGACTACTCACGTTACGTTATACGTTATAGAATTCAAGATTCCAAAAAAGTCTGAAAAAAGGAACATCTTGAGAAACAGACGTGATTAACAGACGGGTAGACTCGATCTGAGCAATAGGTACGGTAGCGCTCGCAAATGATCCGAATCTCCTCATTATAGGTGGCAATATTCGATGTTCGACAATAATACCTTAACGAGGAAATGAATATTTAGGAAAAACCAGTTCAGGAAAAAATGACTTAATGTCAACCAGTTTGCTTACCTATAATGGTTCACAAAGCGTTTACATTGCTCGTTTAGTGTTGTCACGGGTTTCGCATCCTTCTCCAAGTCTACGAGTGGCACATCGAACGGCTCCAATTCAGAGCCGATATCTACAGCTGAAACTGCTCCTTTCAGCTAATTTGAAGTGCATTTTGAACGGGGGGGGGGGTGGTGGAAATGATTATAAAGAAGCTTTAGAAGTCGATTTGCACAACTTTCGATGAAGATGGGACTGCAACCGAACAACTGGGATGGGGTGATTGGTAGGCTGGACGAGGAAAACTCTAGACGCGGTTGGAGTTCATCTCTCTTTCTTCAGGTCCCAGACAGCTCAAGAACGCTTCCCAGTTGATTTTCCTTGCTTTTCGCTGAATTCACACCTCTTATAGGAGGACAAGAGTGCTCCCATATCTTGGAGTTGGTTCTATCTAAGGCCCTTTTGTACCCCTTTTATTCATTATCCTGGCAAAATTAAATAAATATCTAAAGTCTACTTATAGCAAGTTATACACTGCGTCCCATAATTATACGTCCACCTAAGAATTTCCCAAAATCTCAGAAATACAGATGTTACGAAAAAAGTCTCCTATGTGACAATGTATCGCATATAAATACGCAATTGCCTATGAACATCAATTTTCTATTTGAGATCACAGGAATTTTTCCCAATAATTTTTGTGTAAAAGGCCACTCAGCCGACGTCCCAAAATTATACGTCCACCTCACGTTTATCGATTACTTTTCACTTCTGTTCCACGAAACTTTTTCATTGTGGTAACACTTCACTTCTTAAGAGAACAGCATAATAAAGACTGCTGTTGGATTTTGAGAAAGGGAAAATGTCGCAAAAACTGATGAACAACGGAACCGCACCAGATTTGGTCCAGATTCACGCCAAGCTTGAGAATTTTTTCAGGGGTTTCACATGATATGGAGCTTAGAAGAGCTCTAAAAGTCTCTCATTACTTTTCGATGGAAACAAAGGCCGTGTTACAGAAATAACATCCATTTTCATCCAACGGTGCTCTGTCATCGAATCTTCTTGAGAACTTTATGCCTCAACAGACTTTTGTTTCATGCATGTAAAGGAATCCCAAGATCGTTCTTGATCGGAAAATGTGAAAGACGTTCATTTGTGGCAAGGAATCGTGGCGAAAACTGGGCTGATTTTTGCATGAAGGTGCAGCCGAGCCGACTGAAGTAAGGTTCGCTTCTGCCCGATATGTTTTGGCATTTGTTTGTTTCTCTTCTCACGTTTACCTTTCCCTTAATGGCTTTTTTCTTAGAGGAGCACTACTAAAAGAAAGAAAATGTTGAAAAGAAAGACAGACAAACACTCATGCATAGCAAAAGGGACCCTGCTCCAGTCGGCTCGGCTGCACCTTCATGCAAAAATCAGCCCAGTTTTCGTCACGATTCCTTGCCACAAATGAACGTCTTTCACATTTTCCGATCAAGAACGATCTTGGGATTCCTTTACATGCATGAAACAAAAGTCTGTTGAGGCATAAAGTTCTCAAGAAGATTCGATGACAGAGCACCGTTGGATGAAAATGGATGTGTATTTCTGTAACACTTTAGAGCTCTTCTAAGCTCCATATCATGTGAAACCCCTGAAAAAATTCTCAAGCTTGGCGTGAATCTGGACCAAATCTGGTGCGGTTCCGTTGTTCAACAGTTTTTGCGACATTTTCCCTTTCTCAAAATCCAACAGCAGTCTTTATTATGCTGTTCTCTTAAGAAGTGAAGTGTTACCACAATGAAAAAGTTTCGTGGAACAGAAGTGAAAAGTAATCGATAAACGTGAGGTGGACGTATAATTTTGGGACGTCGGCTGAGTGGCCTTTTACACAAAAATTATTGGGAAAAATTCCTGTGATCTCAAATAGAAAATTGATGTTCATAGGCAATTGCGTATTTATATGCGATACATTGTCACATAGGAGACTTTTTTCGTAACATCTGTATTTCTGAGATTTTGGGAAATTCTTAGGTGGACGTATAATTATGGGACGCAGTGTATACTGTATGTTAGTTTGCTCCGTAAAAGCTTACTGCTATAGCCCAAACTGTGCTATTTTTTCCAAACGCAATGCCCTAAATCTGAAGTGATAGCGTCAAAGAGCAATAGAAGTCGAAACTAGAAAACTGGATCTCGCACATGCAACCAGGGGGATTAAATCACCCTCCTTCATCCAATAGAACGTATTTCAAAGATATTATGCCCAACGACTGGCATGGACTCTAACAAGCCAACAGACCAGCCGCACCCATGGCGATATTGCCCCACTGGCTTTTTATTTCAAACTCGTAGACAACCCGGCACACTGGTTCACTAGACGCTGTTTTTTTTATTAGTGATCAAATATCGGGTTTAAAACCATAGTCTTCACACCTTTTTACATACCAAAGTATTACTTTGAAAAAAAATAAAAAAAAACACTTTTTCGCCAGTGAATCGCCAACATATACACTTTTATCAGAGGAAGAACTCTTTCAACAACCATTCAGCACACAGCAAAAACAAACATACCAGGTAAATCCTGAGCATTACAAGTAGGTAACAAGACTGGAATAATAAGTAACAATATTCGGATATTCATTAAACTGAAAATAGAAAAACTATTCATACAATATGCAATAGAATTCAAAAAGAATCGCAAAAACCTTTGAGACCATTTTCTCTTTGAGAAACAATGATACTACGACAAGATTCAATAAATTAACTGTCAAGAAAAGAAAAGAACGCAGAAACTGTCACAATAAAGAAAGACCCGGATGGTGGAGTTCGACCGGGAAGAGCGAACAACAGCTAATGATATCCCGCGCTTCAACTCCTGAGATGGAAAACGGAGAGAGACCAGGGATCACCTAGAGATAGAGCGAAGCAGCAAACACTATGTCCCTTTTGATTCGAACACGAGCGTCTTCGAATTTCTCTTCTAACGCTTGATTTTGCATCGATTTAGCCGCATTCACCATCTCTCTTAGCACCTCTTCCAGTCGACGAAGACACCGAATAATTGAACCTAAACTGGCGGCGATTCAATATTTGTTTCAATCCACATCAAAATAATGGGTACGAGATTTTTGGACACCCTATCCGAAGTTTTTTAGGTTACGGTGGATCTCCGAAATTTATTTGATTGGCACCAAATAACGACCGAAATCTTATCGAGCAAAGAGAAAATCAATTAGGCCGATTGACTGGCCTTAAAATCACACTTCAATTCATCATGGACAACAAATGAATGTAGTGCGAACACAGCAGGAGGTCCGACCACGAGCGGCACATTATAAGGTTAACTGACAGTTCGGCACCCACAACACGGCGCAGCCTTGAGACAGCCGCAACCAGTTACTGGGAGCACTGTTTAGCGGTATTAGCTGTCCAGTTGCCCGTAAAAAATCAATGTTGGGGCTGACAAAAAACATCTACTCACCTTCAAAAATATCAGTGTTCTTCATCACTTCTCCGAATGATGCACCATTTACCCATTGGAAAACTACGTCCATCATTCCTGGTTTGAAGGACTCCACATATTTATCCTCAATAATATCGAGCTTGCATTCCAACGAGAGCTTCGCGATTCGTCGAGCGTGTTCCTTCAAGTTAACAAAAATTATTCATTCTATACTAACCACGTCATCAGGAACACTCGAGGAATGATTTATGTCAAAGGCAACTAATAACACGTTGGGTAAAAATGGGGCAGTTCAATTTGTCTTCGATTGCGAGTTCCGCGCAAAACAGTGTAATTAATATGCTTTAACCAGACGTAGTGGCACCCTGCTGAGGGTTTCTTACGGTAGTCGTGTATGGATATATTTACGGTATCGCGATAGAGTGCAAAAACAAAACTGTCCGAGCAGAAATGAAGTGGATCGTAACCGGAACGCGGTTCGCATAAATAAGATGCGGCGGCCGCGGTGGGATAACAGCAGATGGGAACACAAAAAGAAGGCCGCTCTACTGGTACGGTAGCGCCAACTGAAGACCACGTTCATTAATCATTGAGGTAGAAAATACACTCACATGAAGTTTTCGGAGACAACCTGACAATTCCTCAGCCAGTTTCGGAGTTTTCGCGTTCTCCTAAAGAATATACTTCACCGAAACAATTAACTATACTCTACCTGAAGCTAGTTTCATACGGAAATAATAGGTTATTATTGGACATTTAAGAAAAAAGAAACTTCTATATGTACTGTATCGAGGAACAAATGCATGCGCTTACCTCGAACACAAAACAAGATAGAAGTGCAGCAACTTGAGCTGAGGAAAGGTCTGTAAATACACCTGCGTACAGCATCTCTGTCAGCATCAACTCGTCTGAGGCGGACAGTTCACAAGCGCAGCGCCCCTGCAATGAACATTATGAAAGGTTCAGAAGAGAACGAGAATTACATGCCACTATTAATATTGCTCGATTGTTCGCTGTAATACCACAAAGCATATCGCGGACTGTAGCCATTAAAAGTTCGCAGCCAACAATTTTACTATGGGGGGGAGAGGTGAACACAGACATAGTATGCGGTGAAATGCAGAACGGTAAGGGGGTTGGGCGAAGAAAAAAGAGTAGGGAAAATAGGTGCCTGCGCTACAATGCAAGTATTGTATAGAGTAAGCAGATGTGCCGGAGCGCCAGAAAATGAAAAGTGCTGGGCACGATTGAGACATATAGGAAGAAGAGGTTCGTTAGCACGCCCGTATAAACAGCCTTCAAAAGATAATGATAAACGAGGACACCGATGAGAGAACTGTGCTCGTTTAATTTACAGCCTCAACTTTGCTCTTCGTGTCTATAGACATAATATTAATTCAAGATTGCTATGTATCCATTTAAAAGTCAGACAAAACGAGTGAAGGGGACATTAGCAGTTCAACTATGCAACATAGATTGGCCTTCCTGAGGCCTACACGATACCCTTAAATGCAGTATTGTAACCCGGCCTCCATGTAATAGCGGAGCGGAGTAGACATCGGCACCCAATTTGCTTCAAAATGACCATTCCAAAGCCCAGTGGAGAAAGAGAGCAGTACTGCAATCATCTCAACTCTATTCTGAGGTCCGAACATTTCTTCAGACATGACTGCTATGCATCCCAAAGTCTTGCCAAAAAGAGGATTGCAGCTATTCATCGAGGGAACAGTACTAATGTCTACGTATGGACGAGCTACCTCGCGCACACCACGTTATACGCAGCGTGGATTACGAGGTAGCGATAATTCAAACACACGCAGTTAATGTAGCCATGGAGCAAGCAAGCCCAGACAACTCGTCCGACATGACCCTTTCGCATTTTCAGGAGAAAGAGATAGAAACCTCCTTCAAGGGCTTCGCTAATTGCTTTCGCTTTTTTTCTCATTTTTAATCTGTTCAGCATTCACAATTTCCTATCGACCGTTGCTGCTCCACCATTGTGATATGGCGTTGTTGCTTCAAAGAGTTGCGTTCATGAATGGGACATGAGCATCGAATTTGTGAGAGAAAATGATAACAGCTCATCACAAAGCGCACCTTGTCAGTGATTATATCAGAATTATCGGCGTACTGTAGTCGACGGAGTAAGCGTTTCCGCTGGCTGAGCTCTTCCATATGTAGAACTGATTGCGCTTTACGAAGTTCCTCACGCAGATTTCGATGCTCCTTCTTGGCTTGATCCTACAACTGAATCTATGAGAAGGAGAGGACAGAATGAATCTACTTTCCTTTGTAAAAAGCTACTGCGCGCGCAATATTCAAGCAGAAATTGGTTCCTCTGCAGGCTGGGGCTCAGGTAAAAACAGAAGACGTGAAGGCTGATAATGCTATCTCCTATCCGAAAGCCACTCTCTGTGATATAACACAGAAATCGCACAATTCCACCGTATAAATTGAGACAAATATAGCATTCGACTAGGAGCGTCACCATACTTACTCTGCATGGGTGTTTATCAACACTTCAAAATGAAATGATCAGCCAACCTTTGCCATCCACTGCTTTTTGATGTCCTCAAACTCCTTCATTTTCCGCAGCGGATGTTCTTGACTGCGTTGTTCCAAATCAGCAATTTTCTCAACGGCGTCAACGAGCGCTGGTTCCGTAATGCGCATATCCTTCACAGGGTGTAGTAGTGGAACACTTTTATGGAATCGCGACAATACATTCTAAACACAAAAAATGAAGTAGGGTTTTTGTTATTTCTTTGTGCTGATGCTCTAGATGCTACTATTACTGTTAACGTGATCTCTTTGGAAGGCTTTGGCTCTTTGTAAAGAAAGACTTTCTAGACCTCAAGCTAAATCTCGAAACCTTTGCGCAAATACGCAAATTTTGATATCACCGAGGCGAAGTACAGCAGTGAGCAGAATTAGGAATACACCAAGATTCGATTCCGCCACCCACCCACCGTGGAGAAAGGAGTAATGCTGTGTATTACTTCCTGCTCCACGGTGAAAAAGGCAACTTCTTTCAAAGTCTTAATAAACAGGAACGAACTTACTTTTACCATTTGCTGCACAACACCTTTTGCGTGGGTGGAGTCTAACTTCTGTGGAGTCAAACGAACCAACCGTCTATTCGTCCACACAATCCAAAGCTACTGAACTACCTCCCATGTTTGCCTAAAATCCATATCAAAGAAAGCCCCACATTAAACACTGCTCTCGTTTTTGAGAACTATTCTCATGCTACCGCCCATGCAATAAAAGCTTAGAAACATTCTCACATTGTGAGCACTTGATGCGACATATAACGAAGAGCCTCGAAGTGGCCTAACAGATAAGAAACAAAAAACTAGAAAGCTCGATGATTTGATAATCTATAACTATAATGAACAAGAAAATTCACTAGTTTTCACGACACGAGGGACAGGGTCCTACCCATAGCTTTGACGATCCTGCGACAAAGTCACATAATCAAAAACAATCCACAATATTTTTACTGCAGTACCTGATAGTTCGTTGAAATACAATATGTCCGTGATTACTCATAGGACTAAAACAAATAGGAAGGCACCAAGTATATATACAGGGCAAACCCAAACTCTTAATATGTTTCAATAAGTGCCTGAGCAAAACGAGACTTACAGGTGCGCCCTCGGTTGCCGGTTGCAATTGCGCAAGACTGATATTCTCATCTTGGCCATCATTCTTGAATCCAAGAAACACCTGTAAGCGTTATGCTAAACCGATAACATACTACGGCTTAATCTATAAATCCAAAATTAAATGAATAAGTAACTTCATACATCTAGAATGTAAACACCATCTGCGTGTTATCGTCCACATTAACCTTCCTATGAAAATTAACCAACACGGCCCAACCGAAATCGCGAGTACCTGCTACTACCTGCAAAAATCACAGGTGAATCTCACTACTATGTGGAACTTTCACAAAAAAAACTTACATGGATCAATCTACCAGCATGAAGGAACGGAACAAGGTATTTTGGCATACATATGACTTTCTTGACGGTCATTTTCAAATTTGCAATCTATAAGGGACTGTTTTAGAAAAAGAAAGAGCAAATAGTACTGGTAAAGCACAATAATTATGTAAATCAGTTATAAGTATCGAAACCATAGAATCTAAACCGTACCTGCTTCTCCATGTCGAAGTAAGCCGTTATATCTCTCTCGTGGTCTACACGCATATTTTCAATTTCTGTCAACTTCTCATTAACCTCTGGAAAAGATTAATGACCAAAGAATACGAGTATAAGTGTTGATGAGGAAAAATTAAAATCAAGGAAAACAAAAATGAATTAGCCCAGAAAAAGCCGATAAAATGCCTGTACCACAAACTAGAACAATTAAATACACAAGACCACTGTCATAATGAAAAAAAAGTGAAAAACGAACTTCGCTGCAATTCTGGTATAGCGTCATAGTTCTGGAACTGGTAAAAGGAACGCTCTAGCATGAATTCAGGATTCACTCCTTCAACTCGAAGCAAGTTTAACACCATGTTGTATGTCAAGCGGAACTGCGAGTTGAGAGGATCGGTAGCCCCCTAAAATTTAATCTCACAACAAAGTTATGACAGAGAATCTTGCTATTGAATATAAGTGCTATGGAATTACAGTTAAGGCTAGCATGAAAAATTAATCGTATTCATGGCACAAAGATCCTAAGAAGTTTATCTTTGTCGGAAATAAAGTTGTCAGTAAAAAATAACTGATCGATTCTTGCTGTACCCAATGAGAGCCACTTTTGAAAATACCTTTATGATCTGTTTGGCATCTTCGCTGCTCATTTTGTGGTCCACCATAAGAATTACTAAACCACGGTCATCTTTACCACGTCGTCCAGCTCTTCCGGACATTTGAATGTATTCACCAGAGGTTATCCACCTGCAATAAAATTGAGTGAAACTTATAAGCAATTTTAGACAAATACAACACACCTGTTGTCGACACCATCAAACTTTCGCGCCGATGTGAACAAAACAGTCCTTGCTGGCATGTTCAAACCCATGGAAAACGTTTCCGTCGCAAACAGCGTCTGTAACAAAATTCCTTGAGGAGGGAATAATATGAAGCAATGACATTTAATAGTTGATCACAACCTTTAGAAGGCCTTCTCCGAATAGTATCTCTACAGTTTCCTTGAGAATGGGCAATAATCCAGAATGATGCACTCCGATTCCCCGCAATAGCAGAGGGAGAATCTTAAAATAAGAGTATTGAGAACTTCCGAGTATGACAGAGAAAGACCGAAACAAGCGAAGAGCTTTCGAAATGTACCTGTCCGATTTGTGGAAGTTTTCTGTCTTCGTCACCAAGAAGATCAATAGCACTGCTGTAAATCTCACGCACCAATTTCTTCTCTTCATCTAAACAGAAACTCTC